GCGGTAGCTATAATACAATTTCGAGCAAAATGGATATTCAAAAGTACAAGTACAAGCAAAGATACAAGAGTTATCAACAGCGCAATGACTGAAAGATTGAACAAATATAAAGACATTCAAATAATAGCATCACATATGGAAAACGTTTCAGCTTGACTAGTGAGACGATCGATAGGTGGATAATTGTTCACTAATGTCCACGTAGGCTCTCTTCGCGGGATACCTCGGTATCTGCAGTCGCTTTCGGAGTTGTCAAAGTGGTTGTGGCCGTGGTGTCTTACTTTATTTCTGATACGGTGCTGTAGTGAGAACGGTCCTCGCACGACAAAGTTGAATGAGTTGTCTAACAGGTCGCGTCGTTTCCATATATCTTTCACTTCTATTGCTTCTTTTCGGCGCTTGCTTCTTGATGGTCGACATTTTAGGCGTTCACGGTGAAGAGCTGTTTCACTGCAGCCTGGGATTGTGTGTGACAATGTTTTTATCTTGCAAGAATCTGTAGCGTTCCTTTTTAGTTTTTCGGTTACGTTCGAACTTGGCACAACATTGAATTGGGATGTGCATATAAAGCTGTCCTTAGCTTTTGTTGAGCTGATTTTGCTTGTACCGGATATTGTGTATCCAAATATCGTGGGAGTCAGTATTAATCCAGATGGCAGAATCTTCACTGGTATGTCATAACGAACGACTTGGTTGAGTAGATCCTGCCCTATTATGATAGCAGGTGTAACTTCGGATGACTTCAGGGTCTGCTGAGCAATTGAGATATTGCATTCGCTGATGAATCTCTTGTCAGCGTATGAGAGCTCTGCAGTCCGTGTCGTTGTAGTCAATTTCTGCTTGGTATGAACCGATTGCCTCATCAATTTTTTGGAGCTATGGAGACCTTTCAGAGTTATTCTAACTTCTTCTGTGTTAAACGTCTCTCGTAGTTCTCCCATTCCTATAGTGGTTAGCTTTGTAGAACATAGTGTTGGGAGCTGTAAATGGCTTTTGGCCTCCGTTCTTATGAAACTTCGCTGCGCTCCTGAGTCGAGTAGGATATTGATTGGTTCATAGTCCATCTCAGCTTCACTGAAGATTAGTACAGATGCCACTTGCAACACGCACTGATCGGTTGTCACTTGTTCTGAGTCACTAACAGTGTTCTTAGGGAGAGCTGCACATTTTGTTTGTGATTTGTTTGCCTTCCATGCTTGGTTAGTGCCCTCTTGTGAAATGCGTGGTCCTTCTGGTCTTGAGCGGGAAGCTTGCTTCGAGAAGGAGACCGTTGATATCACATGTTGAGTTGAAGTTGGTGACGCGTTTTGTCGCCTGGCAATTGAATTCGTTGAGACACGTCTGCTTTCAGAAGCAGTGCACAGTGAAGAGTGGTGATCCTCATTGCACTTCGGGCACTGTCCCATTGAAGTGCAGAATTTTGATCCATGGCTTCTGTCAAAACATTTCCAGCACACTTTTTGACGTCTAGCTTCTGCCCGACGCTCCTCTGGTGATGCGAACTTGTAGCACTGTTGTGGGGGATGCGTTCCTCCACAGAGGCATGATGGCTGCGTCCTTTGAACAAAGGCTGGTCTGGTGTTAGAGGACTCTTCCTGCTGGCCTCGGTAATTTGGCCTTTGTTCGGCTCGATCGGATCGAAATAATGTTCTTGTTGTGAGTTCTGTTGTCTCCTGTAGTGTGATTATTTCATCAATGGTTTCCATAATTTCATTTACGCTGAGAGAGTTTCCAGTGTCGTTTTCCTTCCTTATCACTTTGCCACAGATCGATTCCGTAAATTTGGACAGGATAAGGCGTCTCCACATTCGATCTGCATTCATTTGTAGTCCCGTTTGCTCCAGGTGTGTGATGCGAGAAGAAATTGCAGCGAGAGTTTCACGGCAACTCCTCGGATTTCCTTGAGCTCGCGGCAAACGTTCTATTTCATTAATCAAAATGTCTGCGATGCTTGAAGACTTGTCATAATGTTTCTTCAGTATGTTGACGGCAACGGCATACTTTTCTCCCAGTACTGGGACACTGCTAATTGAAGCGGCCGCTTTTCCCTTCAGAGCCTGCTTCAAAAATAAGAACTTCTCTTGGTCGCTCAAATCGTCGTCGCTGTGTATTAGCGATTCGAAAACGGACCAGAACGTATTGAACTCCATGTAGTTCCCAGCAAATGTAGGAACTTCCAGCAATGGACGCCTGACCCGAACGTTGCGTTCTTGCGGAGTCATTGCTGCATTAGACCATCCTTGACAGCTGCTATGGCTGTGTTGGTTACAGAATGGTGGGGCTGGGATGAGGTTATTAATGCGGTTTGTTGAAGTAGTTCCTCTTTTCTGAAGTCTATTTTGTTCAGCCATTGTATTGCTGAAATTTCCAGAATGTTCGACTCAGCCTCCAGATGTTTGTTTAGATCTAACATAAGCTTTTCGCGTTCCTTGTGTTCTTGCCGACCATTAATTGTCTCGATGGCTTCTTTGGCGCAAGCGTCATGGAACTGCTTCGCTGAGTTGATACTTTTTGTGAGGTGGTTCAACAGGGCAGTTTTTTCCCTAATGTACGCTTTGCATTCCTCAATTTGTGGAGGGAATGAAAATCCTTGGTTGAACTTGGTTATTTCTGGCTCATTAGACCTGAGCAGAGCACAAGCGTTCGTGATCTTTGTTTTGAACACTTGAATTTCGGCCATTTATATAGCTTGTAATTGGTTCCAAGTGTCAAATTTCTAGTATCTAGAACGTCACAACGGCTATGAAGCTTTCGTTGGTTTTGCAATAGAACTGATCCTGCCACGCGGGTCTTTGTTGTTTTCGAACTCTGATTTGATTTCCAAGTGTCGAAAATCAATGAATTTGCCCTTCTGGTTTCTCCGAAGAGAACTCGCAAAAAAGGGGAGTTGAGTTGGGTCTTCTGGTTCCTCCGGGGAGGACTCGCAAAGAAGAGTTTTTGTTTCCAAGTGGACGGAAACCTAAAACCTACGCCTTCTGGTTTCTCGGAAGAGAACGCGCAAAGAAGGAGTTGATTTAAATCTTCTGGTTCCTCCGGAGAGGACTCGCAAAGAAGAAGTTTTGTTTCTATGTGAATAGAAACGTAGAACCTACGCCTTCTGGTTTCTCCGAAGAGAACGCGCAAAGAAGTTGTAGTTTTCGCCCTTCTGGTTCCTCCTGGGAGGACTCGCAAAGAAGAACTGGACTCTTTTGTCTCTCCAGAGAGAGCTAGCGCAAAAGAGTGTAGAGATTTGTGGGTTTGAACCCAAGGCCGATGCACCAATTTGGCTAGTGAGCCAATGGAAGACTTAACCAGTGACGTGTAATATTTATTACGACGTGTTAGTGTAAGAATCGACAATAATAATGCATTCAATGGGGTTTATATACAGAAAATGTGGGCGGTCCTCAGATACCGTGTCGCCGCTGGACCGTGGGGGGCCAGTGGCGGTACTCAAGCTCGGGGGATGAAAGGCGGACCGCGCCAACAGCAATATTTAAGTTACCTACTTGATTGCACACTTATGATACCGCCAGGTCATGCCTGCGGTATCATTTCAAGAGATACTTATCAAGAACGTCCTAAGGTAAATAGTTTGAAC